TATATATATATATATATATATATATATATATATATATATATATATATACATATATATATAATATTACATATATATACATATATATAATAGGAATTTTATAATTTTAATAAAGAACAAACATATAAGTGGAAAAATTAAATTTATTTCAGTCACACATATATATTTTAATCTTCAAAAAACAATGAACAAAAGAACGAAACAAAAATGAGCAATTGATTAGCTCAATTTATATTAAATGTTCAAAAATTCCTCCATTTGCTTCAACACAAAGATGACATCGCCGAAACACAAGGATATTTTGTATTTACTTTCACAACTCTTATCGATGAGGCGTTGAAACAAAAACAGAATCATTAACCCGAATTTCGACGATGTCATCTTTGTGTTGAAGCAAAAAGAGAAATTTTTAAACATTTATTATAAATTGAGCTAATTAATTGCGCATTTTTATTCCGTTCTTTTGTTTCTTTTGTTTTGTTAATTGTTTTTTGAAGATTAAAATATATATGTGTAATTGAAATAAATTTAATTTTTCCACTTATATGTTTGTTTTTCATTAAAATTATAAAATTCCTATTTTTTACCCTGTAATATTAAAACGAAATGTCGTAGAGAAAAACATTATTGACAAAATATGTTTGTTTTTATGTCCTCTATTTCCCCTCAAAGTTTGTCGGTCTAATTTCTTTACACCCTGTATATACACATATATACATAAATATATGTGTGTGCGTGTGCGCGCACGTGCGCGCGCGTGTGTGTATATACATCCCTTCCAATGTTTTTGCATTTTATGTATCTATGTTGCGTATACACCAAATACAATATTTATTATTGTGTAGTACCGTTAATCAGAATGGGAAAATTTAGTCAGTAACATTTCACACTATATCAAAATATGTCACAGATGCTTTAACGATCTGAAATATAATAACGTGGTTATTGATTTATTATTTTAGGGAATATAATAGATCTGATTAGTTAAATTGAGACTCACCCGGCCTGGAATCCAAAGTTTTATCTTAGCATCATACTCGAGAAATTCCCAGAATGAAGGAAGCAATCTCATAATAACGTTATCTTTGTTGATCTGTTTCGACCATAGGTAGAAATTAATATATAGTAACTCAACACTACGGAAACCATTATGCATTTACGGCCCAGTCTAATATTTGCCGTCATAATTTCTCTGCCGTCGATCGTATGTTGCCAATTGTCGACTACACGATCAACACAGGACTTCAGCTGATCCCTATGGAACAGTACTAAAACGTATTTCACGAATATTGCCCGTGTGAATAGTAATGGATCGCAGCAGTATCAAGATAATTCGCCATTTTTCTTTGACGACAAACACAGTCCATATAACACAAGCTGGATTATTTTTTATTTATAGTTCAAGAAGAAAATACTTTCAACTACATTTCAAATATTGGATATGAAAAGAAATTATCATTGATACCGTACAATATCAAAAACTTTTGACTTTTGTTGGATATTAAATTTACATACTTGATTTGTATTTATATCATTCAAAGATAACTGTATTTTTCATGGAATTATTATGAAATATATAACCATTAATATATTTTTTTATTAAAAATAAAAACTTGAATAAATGCTTCTATGTTTGAAGTGATGTTACTGGTAAGCTTAGTATGAGTTTTTGTTTGCTGCCTGAGGAAAAAGTTTTTTAGCCGAGTAGGAAAATTATGATTTGACGTTTCATGAAAAAAGAATATTGATGATAATAACGTATAGAATATAGTTTTTGACTTACAGAAAATTTATGGTAAATTATTGTATATCTTAGATGTAATAGCAGAAATATTATTCATTCTCTATCTTAACATGATAGGTAGTATGGTTAATACAAAATAAATAGTACGAAATAGATAGTACGTTTACTTTTTCTAATGATTGATAATGATTATAAGATAGAAAACTTTTGTATTATCATGATCTCAACAAGGTATAAAACAATACCTTTCGCGCTACTAAAGGCAAGAGATATAAAAATATTTGACGATAGTACATGTTTCAAATTCACAATAAAATAAAAAATCCTATAGTTACGTATGTTTTCTCAAAAGATATATATTTAAATCTAGAGTATACATTCTACATTGCACAAATCTTTGTATTTGACACACATTCGTGATACTAATAAACACAATATGCTATCTCTATAGCAATATATATTGCTTGTTTCGTTATCTGGGCCGTTTAAAGCACAAATATTCAACTGCTTACGTTTCGAAGCAAATTAAAATATGTCATAGATGTTTTAATCACCTAAAACACAATGCGATTTAATTACTCGTATAATATACCGAGAGCAAGAATTATTAATTACGAGTAATAAGTATAAAACATGTGAATCATCGTGCACATCCGACAAGTGGTAGACTGTTTGAATCACACTTACTGAAATAGTCCACATTATAATATTATAATAATATTTACAAATTTAATAATAGTCTGGGATATACTGTTAACTTTTCTTGCAATTTAAGAACATTGTAATCTACTGGACATAGAGATGTATATTCCTTTAAAAATATTATCTTACGTCACCAAATGTTTTAATGGATAAATCCATAATTTTCCCTGCAGTGAGCTTGGTGGGCAAATTAGACACGATCATCAACAACACGATACCGCGTGCTTTTTTGTCCGGAAGACGATACCAATCGAGCTCGCACGATGTAATAGCTACTTTTTCTGCCTGTTATTAGTAATAACAATATCACACACGCATAGAGTGAAATTGTATAGGTTGTTAAAATTGATATCTTAGTAATGACTATTTCAGTAATTATTAGATATCATCTCTCAACTTCTCTTTTTCAAAGCAGGAATTACTGTTGTTATTTAAAATAAAACCGTTACATTTATATAAATGTAGAAAATCGACTATGTAATATATGTCATTAAATAATGACATACGTTATTAGAGTTTGACATATCGACGCGAATAAACATACCTGGGTAGTAAGCTGTTCACCAGTGTAACAATACATGAACACAATTATTAACATGCCTGTAAGAGATGTAAAGTAAGAACACATAGCTATTCTATTGCTATTGTCCCATTCCTATAAAAAGAATTGTAATAGACAAGTAATTTAATCGCATGCAGGAGGATACGATTGACAATTCCCTTTTTATTGAATCAGATAAATAAAAAAGTTACAAACCACTATTATACAATATCCTAGAATGCAGAAGATTAATGTGCCCCCTATTAATTCTATAAAACACATTTGATGCATAGTATTTTCCACTAATTGCAAAAAGCTGAAATGTTGTTACGCATGATATAAAATCGACATTTCCCAAAAAAAACAACAAGACCGGTTAAAAAATTACAATCCACGTACGGTACACAATGTTAATAACAGGGATTAATTATCATTACATATGGTAACAACATAGCTTAAATAAAAATTATGAGTTACACGTACTCACCATCGTACTCTTATTTGATATTCAACTACTTCAGCCAGTTTCTTATCCACATCATGTTTCTTAATCCACTGCTCCTCGAAGAGACATGTCATCAGCTTCATCAGTACCCTCAGTTGGCCACAAGCATGCATCACGAAGATAGCTGTAAGACCACACACGCCTGTCGTGATCGCGAAAGTGACTAAACCAGAAAAAAATTGTATCACAAAAATCATCTCATAAGTAGGGCTGGCTTGCGCATTGAGAGAGAAGAAGTAACCCGGACAAGCTAAGGGCTTGATCGTGACGTTTTGCGCAGTCACGATCGTTCCTTTGGACAACGATAAAATCGTCCGGTAAGAGAGCCCACTGCCGTACATAAAGATTCCGCAAAGTATGGCTAGGCGTCTTCCAATTTTCGCGGATTCGATCATCGTGTTTCGCGTGTCGGTATCCATCACATTCTTCCAATCCTCCTCGATGTGCTTTAGACAACGTTTGATCTGCCCCTCGCGAAGTATCAAATTATCGTATTTACCGATGATCATAAAACCGAAAAGGAGTAGAGATAACATTTGAATCCTGATGCGTGTTCTCTTCTCAAACAACCAGAAAAGAAAACCAGGAATCAAGACGCAGTACAGAAGTAGCCAAGATATTATGATTATTAGAAGCTTGCAGATTCGACCGCCGATTGATTTTCTTTCGTCTAAGGACGGCCAAACTCCGAGTGTGTTCAAAACATTACGCGTTATTTTAGTGATATACATAATATCATCTTGATAATGTTCGTTATTCGGCATATTTTTTAAATTTACGAGAAAAATTGTCTCAATTTCTTTTACAGCGAATTACTTTCGGATGCAAACCGTACAAATTATTATGAGCACGATGGAGTTCAGATGCGAGCTCGATTACAACTGACGGTTGCAAAGGGAGATACAAATCAAACAAATCCGCTGTTCGCTTGCGCTTGCGCGATTTTAATATTTAGATGTTGCGTGCGTGAGAGGCAGTAAAGCTTTAAAAAACGTTGGTAGCAAACTTTGAAAGCCAACTTGCTCGCGGGCAACCGGGACAGTTTGCGAAAGTAAGTATTTTTGTTCGTCAGAATTGTCTCCCCTTTTTCAATGGACTAAAGTTAAGCTGTAACTTTATTTCTTCCTGTATCCGAAGTTATAATTATAGTCATCGGAGGTCGAATCAGTATATTCTGCATTATTCAATCAAAACTATTAGTTGCTGTCAACCTCTGGTGGTAGCAATCATAACTTTTGATACAGGAAGGAATAAAGTTACAACATATTCGTAATTCGTTGGAAAAGAGAGTGCATGTTAGTGGATAGAAATACTTGCTTTCGCAATAAAAATATTTTGTACCACGCAATCGTAGAAGTTAACGGATGGTAGCATCATTGTTTATACGTACCTATTTTGTTTATACGTACGTATTTTGTGACTATACAAAATACAACATATGTCATTGTGTCGTACTTCGTCAACCCGGATAGGAACGTTTAGTTGGTAACATTTTGCAACATATTAAAATATATCACAGGTACTTTTACAACCTACAACATAATCGTGTGATTATTAGCTTATTATTTTAGAGGATATAACAAGCTTGATACGCTAAATGTTAACTAGTTTACATAGAAAATATTTTAAATACATGATCAATATGGTCTATATTAATTTGAAGATTGTTTCGTTGCAATATGTTAAACAATTTTGATTTTATTTTGATTAAAGCAAAAGTGTTACTTACGTTAGAGAATATGCTCAACGTCATCGTTGTTATTCTCTGTCACTAAGTAAAGCAAGCAGACTCACGGTAACGTTATCCTTGCTGACCTGTTTCGAAGATACCAAGAATAGAAAGTAATAAAGTATATCGTAGCTTAGCATATGAAGGCTACGAAAAAAAATACGGATATGCAGCCCAGTCTAGCATTCACCAGTGTGATACAGACAGTGTGATTTCTCTGTCCAATCCATATATTAGACGTACACACACACACACACACACACACACATACACACACAAGCTAGTCCATTTTTTAGTTATAGTTCAAGAAGAAAGTTCACTTATATTCCGAATACTAAAAACGCAAAAAAAGATTGTCATAGATATCAGTATGACATCAAAGTATGGCCTTTGACTTTCACTGGATATTGAAGATACAAACTTGATTTATATCTACACAGAGAGAACGATTTATTGAACCAAATAAATTCTTTGGAATAGTCCAAACAAATTATTTAATTGGCACAATAAAAATATTTCTTTGAATCTAAGCCGTAAATAAATATTTTTGTTGCGTCAAACAAAATTTTATTCGATCAATAAAAAAATTCGTTTGGATTATTCCAAAGAAATGTTTATTTGATTCAACCAAATCGTTCTCTCTGTATACGCTGCTCTTAAAAGATAAATACATTTTTTTTATAATTATTGTGAAATATACAATCACTAACTTGCTTTTTTTGTTGAACATGAAAAGAATAAATGCTTCTATGTTCGAAGTAATGTTACTGATAAGCTTAGTCTGAGTTTTCCTGTCCGAGGAAAAGTTTTCCTTAGTTAGAAAATTACGATTTAACGTTTTACAAAGAAAGAATACTAATAATAGTAGTGTATAGAATATAGTTCTTGAAACAGAAAATTCGTAGTAAATTATTATATATCCTGGACAATTGCAAGAATATTTCTCGTTTTCTATTTTTACATGATTATTTTAATTTTTTTGTTTGATAAAGGTAATATTTAATACAAAATAAATAGTATGAAATAGACAGTACTCCTTATCATGATATAGCGATTATAAGGTAAAAGATTTTTGTATTGTCAAGATATTGGCAATGACATAATAACATTTGCATTACTAAAGACAAGACAGATACAAATATTTCATATAACGATATCACGTGTTTCAAATTCAGTGTAAAATAGAAAATCTTACACATACATATGTTTTCACAAAAGATATGTATTTAAACAGGAACATATATTCTATATTTATACATTACACCAATCTTTGCATGTCACACATTCATATTATTAATAAACATGATACGATATCATTATTGCAATATGTACAATTTGCATCATTTTCTCAATCATTAAGGGAATGCTGTACGCGATTGCGAACTTCGAAAGCAATGTAGTACGCGTCGGTTTGGGACAGACGCTAGATGGCAGTGTATGTTCGACGCGGCCCCATCTGATAGAATTTCGATAGTAGGCACGCAGCGCAGAGTTGCTAGATTTAAAATGCAGCGTTTTTCTCTCTGCGTTTAGGCAGGCAGAGACGCTTTGTCTATTTGTGTGACGATCTTCGTCACATGGATTCTAACACTGAACTCTGAACCATAAAAAAAGAATAACGTAAGCAATCGAGAGCCACATATATGTGTGCCTAACGCTTTAGTTCATTGATATAAGAATATAAGATATAGACCGAACATAAGACTGGAGATCTGAAGACGTAAAACAGAGTTCAGCACATGTGACATATTTCGGCCGATTTTCGATTGAAATTATGATAAAAAGCGACAGTAACGCATTTACGCAGTTACATTCTTTACATAACAATAATGAATAATTTCATAACTTTTAGATAAAATTTTCCGTTTCTTTGCACATATAGAATACATGTGTACAGAATAGTATAGAATAGCCCAAAAGAAATCTTAAAAAAACATGGGGCCGCATTTTTATTCTGCCAGCACACAACACACATTGGCCAGACGCGTAATTCCATTGGTGCAATGTATTTTGCATTTGTTGTCAATAATCTTATAAATATTTAATGTCAGAGCGCGTTCCTTGACACAACTTATTACAAACTTAAACTTTTAATTATTGCAAAAATCAGTTGTCATGACATTAGATGCTTCTGTCAGTAGATATTATTAAAAGTAAACAGATTTTATGTATGATTTATTGTTGCTGCTTTTAATCTTATTAAATGTTGCATATATATGAGAGCAAATTTTTCTAATATTACTTATTATAGCAAAAACCATATCATATTAAGATGCATGTGGTCTTTAATATAATGACATGCAAACAGACTATATACGTATAAGTGTATCTGCTTTGAATATTCATATACATAATGCTTATGTCAAACCGAACTTCTCTAACATTATTTATTCACAAAAATCACATAGCACCATGCAAGATTTCTGTAGTATAAATCAATATGAGTAATACGTAACTTACATATGTTATAGTACATTCTCTGCATTTTATATTATTATATAATAAGTATATATATATATATATATATATATATATATATATATATATATATATATCCAAAAGCATATATATATATATATCCAAAAGCATATATATATATATATATATCCAAAAGCATATATCTAAAAGTGAATCTCTCCGTCATTATGTATAAATTCATGGGATGCTTTTTTTCAATATCTCATATTTCAGAATACATTCCTCAGGTTTTTACAGGAAGAGTAGTTAATCAGACCGCGAATTTCTTAGATACTATGTATAATTGTGTAAGATGATTTGCTTCAATCATGTCTCACATATGAGAAAACATAACACAGTTTGTTATAGGAAAAGTAAAGTACATGTGGAAAAGTTTGTTTTTGTTTGTTATTGAAAAAATTATGTAACAGTGAATCTCTAAGACAGTATATATAATTACATGAAATATTTTATTATGTCACATTACATATGGCTACGTGAGATGGTTCGTTAATCAAAATAATAATATCTCATGTGTCAGAATACGTAATACTGATTGTGATATCAATAATTGTCTATGAATGAACCTCTGTGACACTACACAGGGTACTTGAAAAGTGTGAAAGATCATCAATATTACGATACCGCGTGCTTTTTGTCCGGAAGATGATACCAATCGAGCTCGCACGATGTAGTAGTTACTTTTTCTGCCTGTTATTAATAGTATCACACACGCATAGAGTGAAATTGTACAGGTTGTTAAAATTGATACCTTCATAATGACTATTTCAATAATTATTAGATATCATCTCTCAACTTCACTTTTCCAAAGCAGGAATTACTGTTGTTATTTAAAAGAAAACCATTACATTTATATATAGGAAATCGACTATGTAATATATGTCATTAAATAGTGACATACGTTATTAGAGTTTGACATAACGACACGAATAAACATATCTGGATAGTAAGCTATTCACCAGTGTAACAACACATAAACACACTTATTATCATGTCTGTAAGAGATGTACCAGGTGTAGAAGTATGAAACCGGAATTCCCCTATAAATGGTGCCAGCGTTCAGTTTAGTGACCGTAAGACCGCTACTGCCGCGCTATTATATTCTCCTAACAGCTGACGAATATTGTCAACAAACATAACCCCAACTTTCATTCTCTAGTATATTTTTGTATAACCTTAAACATGTCACGTTTCGAGCCTACTAACTATGATTTGCGGACAGCATTGATTTTCTGTTATCATTTAAAGAAAACTGCTGCAGAATCACATCGAATGCTTGTCGAAGCTTACGGTGAATATGCTCTTGGTAAATCTCAGTGTTTCGAGTGGTTTAAAAAATTCAAAAGTGGTGATTTTGACGTGAGGAACGA